CTGCAAACAGAAGAGACTATATGAAAATGAGTAAACTATCCAGGCACACATCTAAGAAACTTGAGCTCTTTAAAACAAGAGCATGTTTACTTTAATTCAGAAGAAAAAATAAAGTGCTGACTCATACCCAACCATTCTCCATTTCTGCAATCATTCTCCATCCGTACACAGTGTACTGAAATCCTCTGTTTATATCCAACTGTCTTGAAAGTCTGAGAAACTGGAGAGCTGGGACCTTGCCTACAATTTTAAAGTTTTGAGCACCTGGCACATATCAGGCCATCATTTCATATTTGCTGAAATATATCTTTATTGGTCTTTAAGGCCCAATAAATCATATACTGTAACACACCAATGATTTAATTCAGCTTTACATGCAAGGAAAAACGAGGCACTACATTTGTATGCTACATTTATAAACAACTATTGTAAAACACATCCTGACTTCAAGTAAGCTTAAAAATCTTAAAAGTATGCCTCTGGATGGAGGAAATCCTGCAGTTGTCCTCTACTGAAGGTCTCATCTCAGAAACAGAGCAGGTTCTTGCCTCCATTATGTCAATGGACAAATATCATTCAATATTAATAACATTGACTCACAGCATCCTACTCCCTACCTGCTGAGGCCACTGATAGCTCCAATGTTAATCTGCTGTTGTTTTTCTTCCTCTCTGTTCCTGGTGTTAAATGCTTCTCTTAGATTCTTCACTTGTTTTTATGGCCCTCTGTGGTCTCAAGGGACCTAGTCTAAGGTTCCTTTCCATGTCTCATTGTTTCCCTTGATTCCGACCTTATGTGAACCCCCCAACTCCCAAGGCTCAGTTCCTTCTCTCCTCAGTCTAATCTTATGATTCTTAGTTCTGGCTGCTCATCACAGACACTAAGAGAGCTCTATTCAAACCAGTCAAGCCCAGATCCCAACCTAGATCAATGGAGTCAACTTGAACTGAAATATTAGCACAGGGATTCCATGTCTTCACCTACAACCTTCTGATGCGGTTGACTACACTTCACAAGATTGCTGCTTGCACATGCTTACCCATCATTATGGTAGGCGTCTGCTCTCTCCTTTTATCCACAGTCTACCTTTCTTTAAAAACTCAATTCAGTGTCCTCCCACACAGTCCCAGCCCTCTGTAATCACACTTTATGTTGGCTTGCTTGAAGATGCAGAACTCAAGATGGGCCTGTTCAGATAGAATGTCTCCTAGCTGATCTTTCCACAACTGTTCCCGTCACCTCCCACCCATTTTCCATACAGCATTCCAACTTTCTAAGGGTAATCTTAGCAAAAAGATATGGATCATGTTACTCCCTATTTAAAACCTCCCAGTGAGCTTCTCTTTGTTCTCAGAACAAATCTTCCAACTGGCCCACATATTTCTGCCAAGTCTAACCCTTGCTTTGCTGCCGTCCTGAGACATCCTGTGGTTCAGTCCAATGGCGACCCTAGTTTGATGTGCTATTTCTGCCTCGGACGTGGATCAAATTATCCCTCTGCCAGGATGAACTCACACTCACCTTTTCAGCTTCACCTTGATACTGGTCCAAATCCATAGTTGTGCTTACATTTATGAGTAAGAGGAAGACAAATCACAAGATAAGTGTACTGGAAAGCAGGCCCGAATTAACCAAACTGGACCTTAATCCAAGCAAGTATCAGTTCACTTCCTCAGGAAACTCTTCAGCCCTCAGCCAGGGTTCATGCCCCAAGGACCTTGTAAATACTGTTTGTAGTAAACTGCTATATCATGAACTTCATGGAGGAAAGTGGGATATTAACTTTTTTTTGAGACAGGGTCTCATGTAGCCCAGGCTGGCCTCACACTGGCTATGTAATCAAGGATGACCCTGAACCCGAGTCTCCTTTCCTCCACCTCTCAAATGCTGGCATTATAGGTATATAATGTAATATATAATATAATGCTCCAGGATGCTAACTTTTTCTTTTTATCCCCACACCCTCATTTTTTTGAAATAGGGTCTTATTACATAGTCCTGGTACTTACTACATAGCTCAGGCTGGTCTTAAATTTAATGTTATCCTCCTGTATCAGCCTCTTGAATGCTGAGATTACAGGCATGCGTCATCACACCCAACAACTTTTTTAAATTGTACTTCTGGGCCTGGAGGGATGGTTCAGCGGTTAAGAGCACTGGATGCTCTTGCAGAGGACCTGGGTTCAGTTCCCAGCACCTACATGGTTGCTAACAACTGTCCCTAACTCCAGTTTCATGGGATCAGACACACTCTTCTGGCCTCTGAGGGGTTGCATAACATAGGTGCACTTACATACATGCAAGCAAAATACTCATACACATTAAATTAAAATAAATAAAATTTTAATGTATTCCTACAATATTTACTTTGTTATCACAACAGTGAATTACATTTATACTTTAGAAAACTAGAAAGTATGTTTGATCCCCAGTACCACGTATACACCAAAAAGGCACGAATATTGAATATTTAAAAAAATTATATAGTTGTTTTGATGACTCTCAGACCCTAGAATACAAGTTGCAAGATAAGTATATACTAGGCCTGTCCTGTCCACCACTATGACTACAGACTCGAGTAGTCAACAGAGGCAGCACCAAATCAAAGTGAATCCTGCTGCCTGAGAAGAACAGGACATGAAAAGTGGCGGGAGGCTGAGCACTGTCCTTGCCTAGAAAAGAGATGGCCCTCAGTGTAATCAAGAAGACGGGAGTGGGCCTCTGCACTTAGCATCCTATTCGAAGCATCTTGCTCCTCAAGAGTGACGCAGAAAGTCTATGAAATATGTATCTAGACTCACAAGAGGGAAGAGTCTTCCAGGGTACTTGTGTCTTACTTAACAGAAATAGGACCAGTACTAGAGGCCCCACATCTAGGAGCTATCAACACTGAAAAAGCATCAATTCCTCTAGCTACACTTTTCTGGTTAGGGTCCTCATTATTTACATTTGCTGTGGTTTGGACAAGTGTTCCCCTAAGGTCCATATGTTAAAGCTTGCTCCCCCATTTGCAAGCTGTTGGGAGGTGGAAGAGCCTTTAAGGGATACAGCATAGGGGCTGGGGGTGTAGGTCAGTGGTAGAAAGTACGGTCATATATAAGACCCTGGGCTTAATCCCCACTATCCTTAAAGAGGAGGAGGAAGAAGAAGAGGAGAAAGGAGGGAAAAAAGAGGAAGAGAAAAATCAGAAGAATAAATAATATATGGAGCCTGGTGAGAGGTTGTCTGGTTATTGGGTTGTGCCCTGAATCAGATATTGGAACCCTAGTTTCTTCTTCTGCATCTCTCAAAGTGAATGGCTTCACTCTACCGTATAATTCCTACCATAATATACAGTTTTGTCTAAAAATCCAGGCCCACCTGGTCATGTACTAGAACCCCCAAATCTGTGAGCCAGAATGAATATTTGCTCTCAATAACTTGATTATCTCTACGGTATTGTCATAGTAACAGAAAGCTGACTAACACGGTATGCAACACATACAAATTGAGATTTTCTTTTTCTTCTTAAATTTCTGCTCCATTTTCAAATTTACTCTGCAATCCCCTAAGTACAAGGACTTTTTCACAAATATTTTACATCCTTATGATCTGGCACAGTCCATAGAATAGTCCCTAGAAATAACGTTAACATTTTTTATCCAGGAAGATATTCAAAGCTTCATTGTTTCTCAGATACTTTCTAACAAGGTGTTTATATTTAAATAAGTATAGCAAATGCATGCTTTTATCACCAACAGTTGTTAAAGTTGATATCAGAATAACCTCTCTAATGGTTTTCTTTGCTAAGAAACACTTGATCAAGTATTTTCAGTAGAGGCAAGCAATGCTATTTAAGCATACAGGTTGGAATATTTAAAGACAGCATGTGCTTTTCCTGCAGTGCAGTGTAAATGTTTCTGTATAGCTTTCTATATATTTAAAAAAATTATTTTATGTATATGAGTGTTTTGTCTGCATATACGTAAGTGAATCTCATGGAAATGCAATGCCTGTGGAAAATCAGAAGAGGGCATTGGATCATCTGGAACTAGAGTTACGGATAGTCGTTAGCTGCCATTTGGGTGCTGGAACTGAACCCAGTTCCTCTGCAAGGACAGCCAGTGCTCTTAACTGCTCAGCCATCTCTCCAGCCCCTGTTTCTGTATTGCTTTAAATAGGGGCCATGCCTAATGAGTCACTTTAGAAGCTTCCCAGTAAGGTCTGGATGGTTCCTCCCAGGCTTTTGACAAGTAGCTTGAAGTCCATTTCCATGTGATATACCTCATGTTGGCAGAAAGACAAAAAGCAATATTTTTTTGTGCATACTAATAATTGTATCCTTCAAGAACTAAAATGGAGAAAAGTAGCCCCCTACCTCCAAAACTCCGTAATAGCAAAGACAATATTCAGTGTATAGTCCTGTAAGCCTTGCTGGCTAACTTCTTTCAGGGATCTGGGTTATATGCTCCTTTTAGACAGCATTTGCTCTTTTCCAATAATTTAACACACCTGGAGCTACACGTGTTTAATTGTTGTTAGAGGCTACCTTAAGACAATGTGAATTCAAGCCATTATGTGACTGCAGTAAGATTATGTTTATTAACCAAGGCTCCCCATTATTGTAGTTTCTAGGCCAACAGCATGAAATGAGATCTTTATAATAAAGAGAAAATTGTTTTTTTTTCCACAGAACACACTATTATAAAGTCAAAGCTGATCTGTTCAGCCACTGGCCATTCTCAATAGCTGTAGACCTGTATTTCTTTCCTCACCACAGTCTAGCAGTTTCTTGTGTTAACCAGACTTACTTTGTTGTTTTATTCTTTTCCCTAATTAAACTGGCAGACAGTAAAAACTATTTTGTTCATTAGAAATAAAAAGATCATTTTACTTTCTACACAAATCTATATGAAACAAAAATAAAATGATAGTGTGCTTTTGAAAGCTAAAAGATTAACTCTTCCTAATTTAGAAAGGGAGCCCACTAACTAATTTTAAATATATTCATATGTACTTACCATGGGTTTTGATAACGGTGGGTTAATTCATCAATAGCAAAAATACTTAGTTCGCCATGCTGTAAAAGGAAGAAAATTAACAAAATGTCATTTCCCAGTTGATAGGGACCAACGTGTAATGGTTTAAGCGTTCACTTTCCTCCCCAGAAAGGAAGTTAAGTTGGGAAACGGAATAGGAATGCCTAATTTGACTAAAGGAAAACCCAAGGAGGTTGTGCTTCCTGAACTGAAGAAAAGTTCAAGAAGCAAATCCCTATGAGCTCTGCCTCTGTTTGCATGGAGAGCACTGGGGTGCAGGGCTGGGGAGCAGAGCTCTCTAGACTTTGGTCCTCAAGCTCCTCCCTGTCTTTCTGATGCTAAGTAAGCAGCACTATGGACTGTTAGCCATCATTAGGCCTGTCGAGGGCTCTTCAGGTAGAAAATGTGTTGGCATGGGACAGGGCAGGTGTCAGAAGTCTGCAGCGCATCTGAAAACTCTTCAGAAAATATGTTCTATAGCATGGAAATGAAATCTTACACCCTCCTATGTGTACTTGAAGGATGTATGACTGCTATGTGCTGGTCACCCCCTCCCCTTCTGAATAAGCTTGGGAAATAAAGGTGTCACGTTCATATTCCAAGGGTTTTGGAATGCTAATCATTTCTCAGTTTTCCATACTATCACTGGAAAACTACGTCATGAAGTATTAGCAGAGACACTTGTACATCTATGTTTGTTGCCACTCTTTTCACAATAGCTAAGAGATGGAAGCAACCTAGGTGTCCCTCAATTGATGAGTGGATAATGAAAA